AATATTTATGACTTTTTATTATTGGTGTATGAAACAAGAAAAATAAAATTTGTATTTTTTTTTATTTTTCAATTCAAATTTTATTAGAAGTAAAAATTTTTTATTTTAAATGAAGCAACCAAAGTTAATATAGGGAATAGAAATTAAGATTCCAAGACTGATGTAAGAAAAATTGTTGAATAATGAAAATTTTTTGCAAATTTTCTTCAAAAGATTAATACAAAATTTTAAAATGTAAGCTATTCAGAGTGCTTTAAATTGAAAACTTCAATTGAGTCTGTGAACAACTATTCAATTACCTCTGTTGACTGTAATTGCCATTGCTATTAAAAAAGGAACCCATTATGATATTAAAATGGGAGATACGCGACTAATACAATAATGTACTTAAGCATTAAATCTTAATAAAATTTTAAAAATAAAAACTTAAGTACTTTTAATAATATTATTTGTGGTAATATGCAAGACAATAAAATAAAATCCCAAAAAGCTGTGGTACAATAACATTATACAAGAAGATTTATCATCAACAATATTTCGAAACTATTATTTGAAAAGTTTTTCACCTCATAAACAAATAATTTTTTATTTTAGAATTTCTTTATTTTTGATTTCTTACAAGAGATTAACGAATTTTGAACTCAAAGCTTTTAAAATTCAAGGAGACACGGTTATCAATTACACCATTAAATAAAATAAAATGATAAACAAAGATTAATTTGAAACTCTTGGGTCTTATAGTAAATGTGCTTTTTTTCATTTTTGATTCTAATAATATTTCATGTTTTTTTTTGTTTTTTTGTAAAAAATCAGATATCAATGGTAAAAGAATAATAATATTCAATCCATCATTTACGAGTATTAAAATGTCATCGGGTAAAAAAACAAAAAAAATCTTATTTTCAGTTGGAAATTTATTTGAAAATTACGTGATTCACAAGTTAAAGGTGATAATACAAAAGATTTTTTTTCATCTTTTAAATTTATGAATTTTAATAAAACAAAATTCATAGACAGATTTTCGAATTGGTATGATAGCGAACAAGAGATTATTCACACAGCCTGTGACGCAACAAACTACCTTAGCAACATTTTTTATTCTCAACAATTAATGTGAGAAAACAAAAGTTAACTGAGAATATATGAGATAAAATTTTTGTTTTAGGTTAACAAATCACAAATAACTGAGGGGTAATAATTAAATTCTCATCCATATGCAATTATGGTGAGAATTTAATTCTTATAATTCTCTTACAATTCAATAATGGTGAGAGAAATTAAGTTCCAAAAAGTAATGTTGTGTAAAAACTGCAAATTGACAATTTTCTTACATATGTTTCCCAAATATCTAAGTGGAGAGAGAAAGTAATGTTTAAATAATATTATTTTTTAATGAAGAGAAAATTTATTTGATTTTTAAGTGATTTAATTTTTAAGTGAAATATTATTGAAAAATTTAGACTGCATCTGGAACTAATCATATTATGAATAGTCGATAAATTGAGAGTTTAATATTTTTATTATCGGAGATGTCCACATACGATAAATCGTAGCTACTTTACAAACAATTTTTGTTGTAACGATAAAATAACATGTTTGATGTACATTCTAATTAAGGGCTAAGATAGACATTCAATTTTCGGTTTTGCAATTACTGCTTGATTATAATAAAATGGTTGCGACAAGTCTACTAACAACTAAATTATTGCATCTATTCAAACAGAGTACATTAACTAAAAATTGCAATCAGTTTGTAAATTTCAATAAATTTCAATAAATAATTCAGTATAATTACAAGATGTTTGATTGCTTAATTGTATGCGATCATACAGTTGCCATATAAACCTGTGAAATACAAATAAGCAATTAAATAATTGCAAAACTAAAAATTGCATCATGCATGTCTGCCAGAGCCCTAAAATTCAAGAATAATCTTATTAAAATTTTGATTGCATTATTAAAAAATCATAACTTAGTATGCTTTAGAGTATAATTAATTGTAAATATGCCATTCAATTTCCTTTTAAAATGACAAAATCATTTTAAAGGGAAATTTAGTGGCATTTCAAAAACTTCATCTTCATATTGTCATTATAATCTCTTTTAATAAAAATTATGATTTAATAAATTATTTAATATTTGTTTTATAATTCACATAACATGCTTTCAAAATTCATAAGAGGGAAAATTTATTCAATTTTTATTAAAATTTAAGTTTTCATACAATTTTTCTAGTTTAAAGAATATTTTCTCATTAATTTCTCTAATGTCCACATTGATATTTACGTCACAATATACTCACACAATATGGATATTAAAATATAAAAACTAATAAGGAAAGTTGAAGGACATTTTTTGATTATTCAACAAAAAAAAACAACTTTATTGTTTTAAAGCAAAAAAATAATAATAATATTGTATTGAGGGTCCCAATCTGTTGGAATAGAAACATTGAACTAATAAATCAAAGTTAAATATTTTTTTTTCTTTGTTCTTGTGTTGATTTAACATAAGAAATTCATAAGGAAAAGTTCCAATTTTAAAAAATCACGAAATCAAAAGAGAAAAGACAAAGAAATATTTTTTTATTTTTAATTTTTTTATTTTTTTTTTTTTCTTGTGAAAATTCCTCTATAATCGAAAATTTTCTCATCAAATAGGAATTAAGAAAGTAAAAATATTCCATTGTTTTTTCTTATTATTTTCATAAAAGTTTTTGAAAAACTTTTTAAATTAATAGCCTAAGAAAAATATTGAATAATAAAAAATGATATATACACATATATGTACATATGTATGTGGGTATATGTATATAAGTAGTTCATAAAGCAAATCATAGGGTGACAAAGTTGGAATTTAAATGTTTAAAATTTTTTCGTGTTGGTCTACAGGTAAACTTATTACTTCTGTCTGTATAATCTTAGTTCGGAAATACTGAATGAATTCATATTTGCAGACCTTACCAACTCAGGTGTTACATACATACTTAGAATTATACAGCGACTAAACTAAAAAATAACAAAATGACAAGGCAAAATATTATCAAAATAAAAATAAAGAGTTGCTGTTGCATCAGAGTAGTATTATTTTTGTTTTGCTGCAAATTCATGTAGCAGAACTACAAATTAATAAACCCTGTATTTGACAGTATATACAGTAACAAAAATTGGCTGCAGCTTGCTTTTCCTTTATACTCCAAATTAGAAATATCTCGCAGAACTATTTAAAAATTAAAGAAGAATATAAAATATTGGCACAACAATTGTCGGTATTTAAGCTTAATGTCTAAAATATCCCAACGTTCATATTTTACGATTGTCGTACAGATCGATTGCATAAAAATCGTTTAAATGTAACAGACGTTAAGATTAAGAGTAAATAGTGGTGGTTGTTGTTGTACGAGCTGATTCCGAATCTTTTTATGTGATAAACAAATAATTAGCCAATTGCCTAATTTATAAAATCTCACTTTACTTGTTTAATTTATGATACAAGCCGTAACTTTTAAGTATTGTTAAAAGCTATTTTTTTCTGAAGTCCGACTTCGATAATTAAATTGCCGCTGTCGACTTTATTTTAATGAAACACCAATACAATTTCTTAGTTTTCTGAATTTAATAAAACTACTGAATTATTAAATTTTATATTTAAATTTTAACAATAATATTTGAGTTTTTAATTTAAAAAAATAAAAGTAAAACAAAAAAATTCATAATCGAAATGAACTTCATTTTAATTAAAGGACAAACTTTTGTTATTGTAAAGAATATGAAAGCGACAAAATAAAATTATTCAACGCTAAGCGTAGAAAAATTATACGACCTTTAGCTTGATGTCTGCTTATGGCATACGAAAAACAAATACACAAAAAATTATGTCCAACTTTAATAAAAAATTTCTATTAAGTTTTATGCTCTCCCATATTTTTAATATTAAATGTATAGTTAGCTAGAGCAGCAGTTTTCAAAGAGGATAAAGAAGAAAAAAATTATTTATTATATATTTGTTTTTATTTTGAAAAAACTCGCTAGGATTTTCATAAAAATAAGAAAAAATTTCTAGACTCATTTTTTTTAATATAATTTTAATAATTTGTAATTAAAAACTTTCTCATTCTAATTTTCATATTCAAAAAGAATTTAAAATTATTTCTGATTAAATTTAAATTGGTTTTTTTCCAGAATTATTTTTCTTATTTCTGCCCGTAAATATAGTTGAATGTTGAAAAGAAAAGTTGCGAAACATCTAAATTTATGTTCCAAGAACAGAGAGGTGTATTCCTTATCCAATTTCACCAAATGACTTCAAATTTAGTTTTGATTCTGTGCCGGTTTTTTTCGTAATAAATAATTTTAGAAATTTTCCAAATACACTCGCGAAATTTTTATGAAGTGTAAAATAAATAATCAAAAATCAAACTGATTTCTACTAGAAAAAAAAAACTCTCAGGGAGAGAGCAATAATTCATTCCAAGCAAGGAATTTTTAAAAATGATCCCGTTATATTGATAAGAATTCGATAAAGTTGAGAGCAAAATTCTCAAAATCGGTTGCGGACCTGTGGTACCTTACAAAAGAGAATTAAGAGAATTAACAGAACAGAATATTACGATTTATGTAGAACACTATTGTTAGACAATTCAAGAGGTTGCGAAAATATTTTCATTAACAAACTTGTTCCATTTATTCAGGTTCAACTGTATTTTATTTTTAATATTCTATAAAATAAAATATTTTTTTTTTCTAAAACATTGCACTAAAAATAAATTCTTAATGCTTAGAAAATTAAGGATTAATTGTTCTAATTTAAGGTCATGCCTAATATTTTATGTAATACAATACATTAAGCTTTTTCCAAAAAAAACAAAGCAAAAAAAAATAAAAGTATTTAAAATATTTTTTTTTTTCTATATAATTTGCTATTTAGTTTAATTTTTATTTTTCTATTTTCTAATATTTTTCTAATCTATTATTTTTTTTTCTCTTTTAAATTATTTTCAGTTTCAGAGTACTTAAGAACAAATGGTCATCGTTTATCAAGAAGGAGAACAGTAACACAAAATGGTTTATGGAAGGAATCACATGAACTACAACAAGTCATATCTCTGAAATAGGACGAAGAAGAAAAAAAAAACGAATACAATCCGAAAATATTTAAAAAAAAAAAAAACAGAATTCATTCGTATGTACATAAAATTTAAGCAATTATTTGCAGATCCTTAAAGGATTTAAGACACAAAAAAAAGAAAAATAAAATAAAAATTAATATTAAATCCTAAGTTATATACCTACATCTAAAATATATAAAATAATGTACATTTACATTCTGTACTCGTATATACATACAAACATATTAATATATTTGAAGTGAAGAAAAAAAAACAAACAATTGTAATAAAAAACAGAATTTGAACACGAAAATAAAAATAAGAAAAACAAAATTATTTTTGTCTTTTCTCTGTTCTTTCTCTTGTTTATTTTAAATATTGAAAAATTAAAAAGTAAAGAAATGTTGTCAAAAGGTTTGTATGAAATTAGAAATGTAAATCAATTACAGAGAATAGGGTAGAGAGATTATAGTGAGAGATTATAGAAGAGAGAGAGTAGCATTTAATGGAATAGCATTAAATGGAGATATAACATTATCGTTTAAGTAAAAAGTGTAACCAGCGTTCCCATATTGCATAAAATTTATTTGATTTTTAATGTTTTTTATTAAAGGTCTGACAGATGACCAAATTTCTAACAAAAAATGCAAGATTTTTCACTTGGGTAAAATCTGACAAATCATTTTAAGTTCCTTGTTTTGTGAATTATTATTACTCAAATGAAGCCGATGCCATATAATAATTATATTATTGTGAATTCCGATAGACAGCGATTGTATACTTGACTAACCGAATACTAGTTCTGATATTTTAATATTGTTTGTGAATTAAAGTTGATGTTTTTATGAACATACGAGTTAAGCTTCATTTTAAATGCGTAGTTATGTGCTGGTAGCTAACAATAAAATGGAGAATTGGTAAAAAAAAAAATCAAGTAAGCTTTATTTTAAAAAATAATTAACAAACAAAATAATTTATCTTTTTATATATGTAGAGCATCAACAGGAAGAAAATTAGAATCAACCAAAATTACATGACTGTAAAATGTGCTTTAATTTAAAACTGGGTTTCGTTATTAGATTTTTATTTTTTCCTAAGTTGCTAGATTTTTTTAAGAATATTTTCTATGTAAAATAAATATGTTAACGCTGGTCTAACCTGCATTTGAGATGAAAATTAAGTATTCTCCGATTATGTCGTAATACGAAATTATGACGAACATATTAAACATAAATTTAAAAATTATAAGAAAAACAATTGCAAGAGAACTTACACTGAATCTTGAAGATCAAAATTACTTGCCTTATCATGGAAAATTTTTCTTCTTAATCTTTAATTAATGATTCGTTCTCGTTTGTTATTTAGTGTGGCAGCTGAATCCATTATTTTATTTGGAAACAATTGTTATTCATATCTTTTCAAAATTATATTGTTGATTTTATCCATCTCATGAATTGAACGGGAAAAAAACTGCTGATATTAACGCTGCTAATTGATATTTGATGATTAAATTTCAAAATTAAGCTCCAAAACTAATTAACATTCAATTGAAATTTTCAAATAATTTTTAACTTTCTCTGATTTGTAAAATATTTGCATTGATATAAGCAACAATATCAGCTCAATTTTTAATGTTATAAAATTTTATTGGCTATGTTTAAATTTTTGAATAATTTTCTTTAAAAAAATTTCCAAATTAAAATAATTACAAAAAAAAATAATAATTTAAAATTATATGACAACACATGCTAGCTGCTATGTTTTTAAAAATTCAATTTAATTTTGTTTTTTAGTTCCAAGTGCGTACAACATAGTACATAAAATTTTTTTGCCAAGATTAAAGAATACAAAATAATTGCGATTCTAATGTTGAAGAAGCCTCGTTAACATAACAATACACTCATATTTGGCTTATTATGCTTTAAATAAAAATTTCAGTACATTTATTTTTGATTGTTGTCTTTTCATATTTTTTATTTTCTTCCATTTCCAAGACAATATGTTGACATTGAAAATGGGAAGATGTGAATATATTGGCTCTTGTTATAAATTATGAAATTTTGGTTCTTTTAGCATATTGTTGCTTTTTTTACTCGGAACATTCAAAATTCAACAATATAGCTTTAAAAAATATTCTTAAGTTCAAATCCTTTATAAAGGATCAATCAGAAGCAATATTATTTTGTTAATTCTGAATTAATTTACATGATTACCTATGTATGTGCAACTATATGTATACTAAATCGAACTGAACTTATTCGTGAATGAATCTACTAATTCGTAAAAAGTGATGTGGCTTAATAAAATCTAAATGAGCAATATGAGACTTTAATTAAAATATTGTAGTTCAATCCCATAAAATTTATATTATGATTTTGTAGGTACAAAATGCTAATATGATTTGCTTCTTGTTCGTAAATTAAACACGTTTTATAGACCAAATAAACGTAAATTTAATGAGAAACTTTATTGAGTACACAAGAGACATGTATGTTTCTTTGACATAAAACTAGACTGTATAGATTTTCTAATTTATTGTTTTTTTTTTTAGTAACAGACAGTATGAGCATTACAATACTCTAAATAAATTCAAGAGCAAAATCTTTTCATATAATCTAAGTTGTATTCTGTATTCTAAATGGTTTCATTTATTTGACATAATTTGTATATGTATACTATACTGTTATGTACATATGTAGTCGTGGAAGAAATATTAATACTTACATAAATATAAAATTCAATTTAAAGGCTATAAGTTAAAAGATCAAAAACCGCATGTCAAATCAAAAGAATGAATATTCTTACTATTAAGATTCAATAAATTGAATTTTCTTCCTTTTGATTCCCAGATACAGTTCTTGGATTTTTAAAGGAACACCTCTAAAACACAATTTTCCTTTATTTTAAAAATACGAGAGAGCAATTTCTCTTTATTTTAAAAATTGAGTGAAAATTTTTAATTAATTTGGTATTTAATAAGACAACACAAGAATTTACAATCGAGTACTTATAGTTCTGTTCTTGGGTCGTCGATAACAGCAATCACATTACAAATATTGGGAAATTAAATTGATAGTTGACTTTTCCAACATTTTTGTTTTAGTTATTTTCAAAACCATTTTGATCACTTGATTATAATTAAAAACTTTTTCTTGATTCGCTTTCTGTTTTTCCTATTAAGCTGCTTATAATTTACTTAAACAATTCGGAAAAGTAGAGAAGTGAATGTAAAAGTAACCGCCGCGATTGAAAAGGATTACATGCTTTTCTCAAATTTATAAAAGAGACACTTGCTTTGATTCAATTATTGACCGATTAAGAGCCTTAATTTTGTTAAAAAAATAATTTTTGTAATCACACAAAACGGAAGAGTACTGTACAAAGTATCCTTCACTAAAATGAAGAAAGAAAAATATAAAAGTCAAAACATAATGTTGAAAATGTTAAATAAGAATTTATTGAAAAGTAAGAATATAAGAAATGTAAAAATGAGATAAAAAAAGAAGTCACGTTTCTTTGTAGTGTTTTGATAGGATTAATTTTTTTTTTTCTTTCTTGTACATTATAAGAAGAAAGTGTTATTGTACAGTTACTGAACAATATTTGTTGTACATTAAATGGAATTTCGATAATAATAAAATGAAAATTGATAGAATGATGTCAATGTGTATGACAGCAAAACAATAAAGAACAAAATATGTGTATATGTATAGTACATTGATCTCGATTTCAATCTAGTGTATGTTTGTTTTCATATTTAATACATGTATGGATGGCCTTATATGACGGAGCAACCAGATTCAATTAGTTTACATTGAATAAGCAAAAATTATAATGCGAATATTGAATTTAAGTTGTCTTTTTATGGCTATATTGAATTAAATATGAATTTTTGGCATATGTATAGGTTCATCGAGTATTTTGTTGCAGAAATTTAAACTTATTTCTATTTAAACAATTAAAGGTAAATTTACTGCAATTGAAATTTGCACTCTCTTGTAATTTTAAAAGATTTAATTTTAAATTTTTACTCGTATCACATTTTGTAGATGAACCTGTTCAAAACACTTTAGTTTTTTTTACAATAGAAGCCTGGTATTGACGAAGAGGCCAGTGAAACGATCTGAATTAATAGTTATTATTCGAATATCCCACGAAATTCCGAAAGACGTGCTAGAACTACAGCTACTATGAATCCATTGATTCATTGCAGACCATAATGATGGCCTTCCGGAAGTCGAATTCAAATAACTCCTCAAGTTTCCATTTTAGCCAAAAAAAAATTGAATTTGAGGTTTTTCAAAAAATTTTCTAAAATATCTTCACGAATACTTGTGCTCAGATTATTTTGATTGTAATTGCGAATTCTTGGTGACCAGGAAATCTAATTAAAAACGTTTTTTCTGTTCCAGTTTAGCTATAGAAATCGTTTCGTGTTTTTACAATTTTTCAAAATATTTTTTCAAACATTTTCATTAAAGCTGATTTTCATAATATTCTCGGATATTGCGATGCATTAATGATCATAAAAACACACTGAGAATCGCATCTAAAATTCAATTAAAATCGAAGATAACCTTTACCATATAGCTTTACCATAATTATTGTTAATTTCATTTACTTTAATTTTAATCTAATTTACAATAGAATTTAAATTTATTTCGATTGTTTGCCAATACTTTGTCTCGAAGATTTGAAAAAAAAATGTTATTTTTAAATCTTCTTCTGATCAAAACAAACAAAGGCAGGAATATTGTTTTACCTTCGAGGAAATATTTTTTGTCCCAATTACTAAAAATAGATTTCAATTTTTGTTTAATTTTAATTTTCAATATTTTAATTCAATAACAACCCTCAATGTTATTGTGAAGAATTTCGATTATAAGTATTTTAAATAAAAATAATGTAAAGCTGCCATTTATATACATTCTTATATTGATTTTCATATGTCGTCACGGGAAATAGACCGTCTCATCTCCTGGAATTAATATATGAATTCGATTTGTATGTAAAATATATGTAAACATATGTAAAATCTACACTTATTACGAAAACACTTATTCCTCATAATTATATTCTATAAATACACGAGTTTTCTCTTAGTTGAGTACAATTTAATTTTCAGTTTTTCCTTTGCGTATGCCTACATGTATTCAATATACATGAGAATTATGATTGCATTACAAAAGGCGATTTTTTTTTTTATTATTAAA